GTTATGTGGGTGTTATTTTCCAGAGGAGAACATATTACTTCAGAGAAAAGTTTTGAATAAATTCAGTCTAAAGCAGAGTTTATTGTAGCAGAAGATTTTACTGCAGAGTGATGTGTGCTTTTTGCAGGGGTTTAAATTATGAACATGATGTTATGACTGAGTTTTAGACACAGGGACAAGATAGTAGGAAATGCTGTCTCACTTAAAGAAAGGTACTTATATGGCAGTACAGCAGGAAATTGGGCACATTGCATGGAAATGTGCAGAAAATTGTGGTTCTTTTGAGTCAGAATTCTTTTCCTATGAAATAATAGCCAAATTCTCCATTTTTCCGTGACTCTTCCCTGTGGGGATGCACATGGCAAAACAGGCTGTCCAGCAGCAGGGAAATGCAGAGCTTCTTCCCAGGAAGATCAGAGGCACGTGGGTTTTAGTTTCCTCTTAAAAATCTGCTGTGCTGCTTTTACCAGCAGTACCAACACCAGCACAGCTCACTGAGGCTGCAGTTCCTGGGGGGGACTCGCTGGGGTTTAGCAGCTCCTGGCTTTTCCTTTCTTGTGTTGCAACTGGCAAATGCTTTAGCATTACATCCTTCACATTCTTACCTTGTGCTCTGGCTGTACCTTCTGGCTTTAACAAATGCACTGAGTGCTTGCAGAGAGCACCTGGCTGGTCAAGGATTGCACAGCACAGAGACAAGGGGAGATACCTGCCTGTCATTAGATAACGAGCTCCTAATGGAGTCAGGAAAATGAGCTCCTGGCACTTGGGTTGGAATACTCCAGAAATGTTGAGAAGTGGTGGTAGGAGACAGCATGTTACAGATTCTGGGTAGCATGTGCATATCATTTCATCTCAGATAGAGACATCAGCCTCAATAAAACTGTTCTTCTTTTCCTGTAAAGCTACTTTGAGAAACTCTCTATGCTGTTTACAGTTGAAAGATTATAGTAGTCAATAGCTGAATGTTTAGACTTGATGTTGAACTTGTAGAAATGTCACTATTTTTTATCATTTGTTATAGCTAACTCTGAAACTATGATCACACGAGGGAAGCTTTTCCGTGAATAAGCAGGAGGAGGAAAAATTCTGGGAACTCTCTAATTAGCAAGAAATCTATTTTAATTTAAAAGTAGATTTGTTAGTATGTCTAACAACCTTGACATGTGTCTAAATCCAGTATTGCCCAGGAGAGAGACTTATCACACTGAAGTTTTGTTCCCAGAATTTCCCTGTATTTGCAGCTGGTTCTGCTGCTGTCACAGATGGTTTCCAGCTGTCTGCAGAAGGACTTTTTCCAAGAAGCAGAGGTGAACAGTGGGTTGAGCTGCAGTACTTGATTTCAGTGAATAATGCAGAGAGTTCTGACTCCCAGTCAGTGTGAGCAGAGGATTCTTATAAAGTCTTGATAAGGAGATCCAGTCTGTGGTTACCTTGGGAGCTCTTTGGGTTGCTCCTGGTGTTGCTCGTGGGGAGTCTCTGCCCTCAGGTACCCAAAGCTGAGGCAGAACCTCAGGCTGCTTTCAGCAGGATGTACCTGCAAATATTTAAAGAAAGAAAGTATCAGTCTGTTTATTTTCCTGGCTTCAGCTCAGTCTGTGACTCCACAGGCCCCCGATCTGTCAGGGCTGGAGCAAAAGGGGTGTTGGAAGGTTCTCATAGTCCCTCAGAAGAGCCCTCTGAAGTTGTCACCTTCTTGCTCAGCATTTCTGCAGTGTCTGTAATCCTGTAATGACAGGGCAGGGCTGCTGCCGTCCAGGGCACAGAGAAGTTTCTGTTCTGCTTATTCTCCACAGCTGCAGAGCCTCTGCAGCTCCAAGAGGGAGTTGGGTCCTGTCCATCTCCACATGTCATTGGCATTGCTCTCCTGTCCTCCGGTGCTGTTTTTTCTTCACTAGTGATGTCAGAACTGTTTAAGTTGCTATTTTGAATTTCAAATCCCACTTGAACTTGTCAGAAAATCAAAATGTGTAGGATTTTGAAAAACTGTCCCTCCATAGCACTAAAAAATAAGAACTACTAAGACTTCTGGGATGGTATTATAATATGGGTATTAATTTCTGCATCACTCTTAAGTTTGGAAGTGTTTAAAAAAAGTTCTTTATGGCCTTCACATTTGGCCTGTGAAAGGAGCAGTGCCAATTTCCAGTTCTTATTTGAATTGTAGAACCTCCCCAAAGTTTGGAGATGAGCAGATTTTCAGCTTTCTCAGAAATAATAGTTTATATGAATTATTTTGAATTATTGACAGCAAACTTTCCTTGCAAGTCAGTTGTGGTGCAGGTTTCTTTGCTTGTTTGGACACATGAAGTTTTCTTTAGGTCTCCATAATCCTTCATTTAGTCAGTTTAGTGGTGCTTCAGGGTTTGCTTTTTTTGTGCTTTGTAATCAGTCTCCATTCAAAATACAGAGCATGGAAGAGGAAGATGAAGACTCGTTTTCACTGTAGGAATCATAAATACCACAAATATCATAACTATCTCTTCCTCTAACAGCAGATGGAGATGAGTGTGAGGCAGTGCTGGGTGTTTGTACCATCCAGGGGTTCTCTGGGTGCTGTTCTGTTCATCCCCAGTGCCTGCAGTGCCTCCACTCACAGCGTTGTTTTTTAAAAGCTTTCACTTTTTTGGTGTTTCTTCTCAAGGTTACATTATGCAAAGTACAACATTATATTTTTTACACTATTCCAGGCTGTATAACAAGTATTTTCAGTCCTTTTATGAAAATTGAAGTATCTCTGCTCTGGGAAAGAGGCTTTAGGCCTGTTTCCAGCGCTCCCAACTGCTGTAATGAACTCTGTCTGAAAAGGTTTGGGTCGGGTGTCCTGCCTTTAAAAGTGTTCTGAGGTGGCAATTCTTGCATGCTCTTGCTTTAGTAATTTGATTTACTTATTCACCATGAATTGCAAACCACTACGAATTATCAAAAGGTAGTTTTGTTGTTTAAGTAATTATAAAGATGAAAGAGAACTTCTTCTACTTTACCATAACTGTGAGAAGTCAGGGTAAAAAATATGAGACATGTACAAGGAGAGGAAATGACAGACATTTTATTTCAATGGATTTGTATTATGGATAAGAATGAACAAGCAAGTTGAATTAAATATATCATTTTGGCTTGATTCAAACTCTGCTTTACTAACCATTTCCATTACCATGCCCCTTTTTTCTCTGCTTTCTGGTGAGGTGAGGCACTGTCTCTTTTAATGATTTGATCATGTTCCCTCCAGAGGTTTTATCCTCCCTGTCTGCAGCCTTCAGCCCCGTTCGTGGCATTTGCTGCCCCCCAAACGCTTCAGCAGCTGTGTGAGAGTTGGGGGTGCTCTGCTCCCATCAGTCACACACACACTGTGCTGGGGGTGGACAGGACAGGGCCTTGGCTCTGGGGGGAAGCCCCACATCTGGTACACTCTGGTGGGAAATGTTTAGTGCAGAGAAAGCTGTTAGAAGAGTTAGTAGTGAACCACGTTTGTATTGACCACGATTCTTGTGTGTGTTTAAATGTCGGGTGTAAATCTGGGCTCCTGCCTTTTCCTCTGTGAACTACTGAAATTCTTCTGAAATTCCTGACTGTAACATACACATAGATATAGAAATACTGAGGAAAACAAAATAACAAACCTCCCCCCAAACCCCCATAATCAAACAAAAAACATGAGCTGTAATTTTTTTCTGGTCTCCCTGGCGCCTTTCTTGAAGTTTTCCCAAAAATAATCAGTCTTACACTGATACTGGAACTGGGCAATTCCTTAGATTTTCCTCTAAATATAAAAATAAGGAACCAAGTATGAACTGCCAGAGGTTGTCTTTACATACAATATATGCTGCTGTTTGCTCCATTTGCTGTCAACAAACATGTATTCCTCTGCAGGCTGGTTTTGGTAAAAGCTGGGAGGCTTTCGCTGAGTGGAGCCAAAGTTCTTTTTCCCTTGCTTTTGTCCAGCCCAGGAAGCTTTCTTTTGAAGCATGTGTGGTGACCCACAGCAGTTGAAAACATTGTATTTTCCAAAGCAGTTCTGTGAGTGTCCCTACACTGAATGAAGAAAGAACTCAGTGCCAAAAGGATCCCTTCTCTTGGAGAGCCCAGTACCTGGGAATGGTCAAAATGTAACATTAAGAGATCTTGTCCAGATTGACAAGAGGCAGGACAGTGTTTGTAGGAATAACTTACCTCTGCTTTTGTTCTCTTTTATTTGAAGGAATATACAGGGATTTTTTTTCCTGGAGATGACAGTAAAGCATTGTTGGATAGGACAGTAAGGGTACTAATGAAGATTTTTAAGTGCCTCACAAAAACAATTGCTGAAGTAAATTTGGAGTCAATTTTAGCAGGCAGCTGTAGTTTTCTTAGGTATTTAAGGAGAAAGTATGGCGTCCATCAAATGAAAGAGTTCTCTGAAGTTGTTTTGTGAGAACAAAGAATGTACAAAAAGTTTTTTAATCAGTTATTGAATATTCTAAATACTTACTATGAAAGACCAGTAGCCCTCATATGGGGGGACAGGATTTTGAGAAGGCAGCTGAGTCCCTCAGTCTCTCATGTCCACCTCACAAAGTCATGTAGACCTGACAAAGACACGGCTGCTGATCCTGTCACTTCTTGGGGTGTTTGCTATGGACACTTCATCCACTCCAGCTTGGGTCCCATTTTGGGGGTGTGTGCCCTCCTCATTTGGGAATTTCTGGTTGGAGCTAATTCATTTGGTCAGCCTTCAGCTCCGAGCCAGCCTGTAAATTGGGCTGTGCAGTGCTCTCCTTTCTGTCCTGCTCTGGCCAGGCTGTGCTGGGCTCACAGCAGAGCCTCGTGCCAGGGCCAGCTCTGTGCCCAGCCTGGCCTGACCCCACTGGGACAGCCCTGCTTCCAGGTGAGCAGCAGTGTGGTGTTCCAGCAGAGCCAGGCATGAGTTCAGTTGTGGAGAAACACAGTTTGTGCTGTCAGTGAGGGGGATCAAGGGCAGCTTGGAGCAGGACACGTTAACAGGCCCTTGTGTTCCCCCCCAGAATCACCACGACAGCTGCCTGCATGATGGACCTGCGCAGATACCCCCTGGATGAGCAGAACTGCACGCTGGAGATTGAGAGCTGTAAGTACTTGTGCAAATCCTCCTTATTCGGGGGCCGCTGCTTCGCAGGCTTGATTTCTGTCGGGTTGGGGGTTTGTGGTTTTGTTGGGGGTTTTTTAACATGCTGCTAACCCAGTTCTCTTCCTGTCTGATGACATTTAGATCCTTGTAAACACATGAGAAAAAAATAGCTTTCCAGATGGATTAGTAATTTGTGGCACCGGGATTAGCAAAAGTTATTCTGTGTTTTGATGGACAATTTACAGCTTTAAAAGTCTCATTCAAGTGCCTTGTTGGAGTTCATGTGAGGAGCACAAGGATTATTATCAGTTCTTTATCCTCCTTTACTGCTGAACTGTGTGGCAGCTTGTTTCCATTTATAAATGAAGGCAGGAGGTTACAACTGTCCTTGAAATAGGTGGTTTGTGGTTTTTTTTCCCCTAACCACTGTGCTGTAGTTAAACTTTGAACACGTGTAAGGCAGTTTGTTTATATACACTGTGTGCTCAGGGAGACTTCACAAGTACATTTAAGGTGCTGCAAAGAACTGACAGCAGCCTTTGGCTGGAGCCTGGAGAGCTTTGCAGGTGGAAGCTCTGGCCATGGATCAGAGCTGGAACTGAGGCACAGGGACACATGGGACAACTCCAGGAGCTGACTGGGCAAGGCTTCCTGGCAAATGTGCTCGATGCCAGGCAAGAAACTGTGCTGATCCCAGGGCTGGGTGTTCAGCGAAGGAGATGCCATGGGAACATGGCACTTCCACAGAAGTGGGAAGGGAAACACATGACTTTTGGGCTACTGATGGTTAGAATCTTAAAAGCCATTCTTTTTTTTATTTTTTCTTTTTTTTAATGAAACCTGGGCTGTATCCTGTGTCTCTTCAGCTGAGTGTGTTTGGCATCATGGCCCTTGTGGAAAGGATGTTCCTCTGTCAGTAGGAGCTGCTGTTATCCAAGTGCCCCTTTTCTGTCTTGTTCATCATCAGTGTTTGGATGTCCTAATGTGGGTTCTGTGACAATCCAGCACTGAGGGTGGGAAGGGACTTAGACTGTTTAGCAAACAGTGGTGAATTCTGGATCTGTAGCCACACTGTCCATTTTGGCAACGTGAGCTTTTAGTGTGGCTTCTTGGGACAGATCCTTTGTTCTTTATTTGTCCCCAGTAATTTCATCTCAAGTATGTTGAGAAGAGGTATAATTTCAGTGGCATAATGCACAGTGGCAGTGAACAGGAAATCCTTGACTCCTCTTCAGTGTGCAGATAGGATGATTCAGTAAGAGCTAAAATAATCCCAGTGGTAGGTGACTCTGCTGGGTGGTTGAAGAGAGGAAGGAAATTCAGCCCATCAGTGCACAGGACCAGGGTGGGTTGTGTACAAGTGAACCAGTGCTGGGAAGGTTTTGGGAGCACACACACAGCCCCAGCTGGGGGCTTTGGTCAGGCTTTCAGGCTGGAAATCAAGTCACATCCAGAATGTATCACCCTGCAGGCAGGCAAGAGGGAAGTGTTTGCTGATTTTCATTCTGTCTCAGTACATCCCTGCAGCAGCACGTCCTGGGAGCTCTCAGAGCACAAACAAGGTGATGCACTGTTTGCAAATGAGGAGAGAATTCCACAGGAGCTCTGCAACACACTCAGCCTTTGAAGCAACCTGGAGTTAAATTTAAAAGGGAATCCAATATAGGAATATCTAAACTCTGCTTACCAGCCCTGGACCATTCAGGCAATATAGACTGAAGTGCCTTTTCTTTCCTTTTTTATCATTCTGCAGTTGAATATGGAGAATATATGGAATCATAAAGATACAGAAACAAAACACATGGTTTTAAAACTTCTAATGCATTTTGTCTTTTATAGCCAGTCCGAACTAGAGTACATTTGTTCTTATTATGGAGAGATTATTGGAAACAAAAAGGGCCCAGTTCAAAGAGTCCATATTCAGAAAGAACCAAATTCATTTGCTAAGGTTTGAGGAAAAAATGACATGTCCAGGAAGGTGTTTCTGATGCTGCAGAAAGATGTCTTCCGAAAGAAAAAGAATATATTTGTAACAAAAACTCTAATAATCTTATATCCAAGAAATCATGTGGACGTGTTGAAGGCTGATGGTTTGGCACTTTACAGGCCTGTTTTGAAAAGGTATGGATTTTACAAGGTAAATTCACTTTTTATTTAGGATCTGTGTTATAACATACTGTAGGCAAATGTTTTTCTGTAGGTCTGATATCCTTTTGAATACTTTGTAACTGGTGACTTCTTTAAGAAAAAGAAATATTTGTAAGTGCTGTTTGAAGAGACATCTGATATATTGTTACATATCTCAGGTCTGTGTAGTGTGTGATGGGAGACTGTAGTTTATTTTTATTATGTTCCTTGCAGTGCACATATGGTTTGGTTCTTCTTTTAAAAATATTTTTTTACGCCACTGTAAGTGATGGAAGTGGCACTGAGAGCTCACAATGCCTTCTTCTCCATGATATCGTGTTCCTTAACTACTCTATTACCTTTCTCAAAATGAAATAATTTCTTCAACATGCTCCAGCTCTTATGAAATGGTAATATTGATCAGGTGCTGGAATCACTTGACCTCAGGTCTTTTGCTTCAGAAGACAATGTAAACCATGATTATCTTGTAGTGATCACACACCTGTGAAGAGAATTCAAATATGTTCCTACAGTCATTTTATTTCCTAAGATAGGAAATGCTTTTTTAAGATGCTTTCCCCCCCCAGCATCTGTCTCACTGTTTTAAAGGAAATAAATTAGTTTTCCTTTTGAGAATTCAAAACGTAGTTGATTCACATTTTACCCACTGATCAGATTATAGTCTGTTCCTGATGTCTTTTGAGTATAAAGAAGCAAAAAGTACTCAGTTGAGAAACCTATGAAGATGTAGCTAATGGCCAAACCCCCTTTATGTTATGGCTCTTCCCCAAGGAAATAGTGTCAAAATGTTGAGCCTTTTATCTTAAAAATTAGTTTATTAACTATTTACCAATAATTTTAAAGCCCAAGACAAGCATCTGTCTGGAAACATTAGCTTTTGGAATTTAAAAAGTAAGCACTCCTATGGCTTCAGATGCTCTTTTACTCATCAGGATGTTTCAGTAAGGAGAAGTAGATTTCTTGGGTAACTGTAATTGTCCTTTGTTATCAAATTAGAGTACATACATTAAGGAATGACTTTTTTTATGATGAGTGTGCAAAACCTGTAGGAACAGGAAGGCGGTTGTTTGAGTCTGTTGTCAGTCTGATGTGATTTGCACTTGGCCGCTGAAAACAGCAGCTCCAACAGTTCTGCTAATGCTGAATTCATTCAGGAGGAAGGACAAGAAAATGAACTTTTGAGTTGTCATAAAACTGTGGATTCAGCTGAGTTTGACCAGCAGTTGTGGCCTGTTCACAAACCAGCAGTGCCCAGACTGGGCTGAGGGCAGAGCCTCTGGCAGATCCCTCCCAGCAGGGACTGGGGAGGGGTCACAGTGCTCAGGGGGCTCCTGCTCTCAAGGGAACTCAGTTTGCAGGGTGCTCTGGACTTGGGTCACTGTCCCTGACACTGCTCCATTTGGTCCAAGTTTCCAGAATGAGAATTGGAGCTTCATCTCTGAAACGTGAGCTGAACCCTCCTCAGAGGCCTCTGTTCCAGAGAGGAATCTTTGTTCTCCATCGGGGTGGAGTTTTTTGTTTGAGTGATTTAGTTTTGTTTTTCCCAAACTGCAAGTTTTCTTTTTCCTACTGGTGCTCAAATACAACATACTGCATTTTCAATCACTGAACAGGAAAACAGTTTCATTGGTTTTGTTTCAGCAAGTAGAAGCCAGAGGGAATCATAAAATAATCTTTTGTTTTGATTATGACATTAGATTTGGGTTAAAGAAGGGTTGGCTTTTCAAGTAGACAAGCTTGGAAAACATTTTACTTTGGTGGAATAACACAGTAGAAATTGAATTAGTGGAAGCATTGGCAAAGTTAAAAATTATAATCTTTTCATTGCTTTGATCAATATATTGTGCATTTCTAATGATGAGAGCTTTGTGAAACACGTTAATTTGGTTCAGTTGCTCAGTGATATTTGGTACTGGCAGTTCACACTGATCAAATTCCACCTGTATTTAGAAAATAAAAGCTACTTTCTGTTATTGGATACCGTCCCATTTTGTTATGTCTAAATGTCGATTTCAGAGTTAGTGTTGCTTATGACAATAGTAAATAATTTTTAAAGGGTTCAGGCTTAGTGTTATCAAACTTCTGGTAGTGCTGGGGAATTATCCCCTGGCTAATTCTTGTATCAGTCTAACACCACTATAACTGATGTGAGAAAGTGCCATTGCAAATTGGCTGGGACGTGGCATTGGTGGGCCAGTCTACACAAGAAAACTGTTCTAGTTTTAGAAATATTTCTGATACATATGCCACTCAGAGTATTCAGTATGGATCTGACACACTGTCGAAAATTATTTGGATGGAAATCCAAGAGATCTTTTATGTATGAAAAATTGTCACTCTTAGATAAACTTTCTCATGATGTGCATTTGTTCTGAGTAAAAATGAAACACCGGTAATACTGTTACTGCTCTTAAGTAGCCTCCAAAATATGCTTTGTGGATGAACAAAGGAAGGGGATGTCTAAGTGTTTGAGAGAAATCATAAAGATTATAGTCTTTATCATTTATGTTGTATTTATAAAAGAGTTGGGGGTTGGTTTTGCCCCTTTTTTTCTTATATAATAATTTAGGTCTGTTGTTTTCAGTGTTGCTTTTTATGTGGGGAAAGAGAAGTCACTCAGTAGATGAATATGTGCTTACATTTCAAGGTATATTCAGGAATGATTCAGGATGGAAGAGACCTCGGGAGGTCTGTAATCAGCTCAGAACGTGGCCAGCTCTGGGGTCACACCAAGTCACTCAGAGCTTTGGCCACTCTGGTCTAGAAAACCTCCAAGGATGGAGGGTGTGAAACCTCTGGAGGCTCCAGTGCCCGACCCTCCTGAGGGTGAAGAAGTGGAATTGCACTTGTGG